TTCTTTCTGTCCTTGGTCGTTTCCCACTACAGTGCAAGGCCAGCTGACCCCTCTGACTGTACTCCATGTACCAAGCTTGAAACATACACGTCACGTTTTTGTTGAGGTTGAAGAAAATACCATTCAATGTCAGGCAAGGGGAGTTGCGAGAATCATCTCGCGGCCTCTCGCACCCGAAGCGAGAATCATACCACTAGACCAAACTCCCAGCATGCAAGTAGAGGTACACACGAGGCCCCGCTCTGGCGATGAAACCATCTCATGGGTTCGTGATGGCATGGATTAGTGATGGCATGGCACACCCTACCTTATCGCTGATGTGCCTTCTTTCTGTCCTTGGTCGTTTCCCACTACAGTGCAAGGCCAGCTGACCCCTCTGACTGTACTCCATGTACCAGCTTGAAACATACGTGTCACGTTTTTGTTGAGGTTGAAGAAAATACCATTCAATGTTAGGCAAGGGGAGTTGCGAGAATCGAACTCGCGGCCTCTCGCACCCGAAGCGAGAATCATACCACTAGACCAAACTCCCAGCATGCAAGTAGAGGTACACACGAGACCCCGCCCTGGCGATGAAACCATTTCATGGGTTCGTGATGGCATGGATTAGTGATGGCATGGCACACCCTACCTTATCGCTGATGTGCCTTCTTTCTGTCCTTGGTCGTTTCCCACTACAGTGCAAGGCCAGCTGACCCCTCTGACTGTACTCCATGTACCAAGCTTGAAACATACGTGTCACGTTTTTGTTGAGGTTGAAGAAAATACCATTCAATGTCAGGCAAGGGGAGTTGCGAGAATCATCTCGCGGCCTCTCGCACCCGAAGCGAGAATCATACCACTAGACCAAACTCCCAGCATGCAAGTAGAGGTACACACGAGACCCCGCCCTGGCGATGAAACCATCTCGTGGGTTCGTGAAGGCATGGATTATTGATGGCTTGGCACACCCTACCTTATCGCTGATGTGCCTTCTTTCTGTCCTTGGTCGTTTCCCACTACAGTGCAAGGCCAGCTGACCCCTCTGACTGTACTCCATGTACCAAGCTTGAAACATACACGTCACGTTTTTGTTGAGGTTGAAGAAAATACCATTCAATGTCAGGCAAGGGGAGTTGCGAGAATCATCTCGCGGCCTCTCGCACCCGAAGCGAGAATCATACCACTAGACCAAACTCCCAGCATGCAAGTAGAGGTACACACGAGACCCCGCCCTGGCGATGAAACCATCTCATGGGTTCGTGATGGCATGGATTAGTGATGGCATGGCACACCCTACCTTATCGCTGATGTGCCTTCTTTCTGTCCTTGGTCGTTTCCCACTACAGTGCAAGGTCAGCTGACCCCTCTGACTGTACTCCATGTACCAGCTTGAAACATACGCGTCACGTTTTTGTTGAGGTTGAAGAAAATATCATTCAATGTTAGGCAAGGGGAGTTGCGAGAATCGAACTCGCGGCCTCTCGCACCCGAAGCGAGAATCATACCACTAGACCAAACTCCCAGCATGCAAGTAGAGGTACACACGAGACCCCGCCCTGGCGATGAAACCATCTCATGGGTTCGTGATGGCATGGATTAGTGATGGCATGGCACACCCTACCTTATCGCTGATGTGCCTTCTTTCTGTCCTTGGTCGTTTCCCACTACAGTGCAAGGCCAGCTGACCCCTCTGACTGTACTCCATGTACCAAGCTTGAAACATACACGTCACGTTTTTGTTGAGGTTGAAGAAAATACCATTCAATGTCAGGCAAGGGGAGTTGCGAGAATCATCTCGCGGCCTCTCGCACCCGAAGCGAGAATCATACCACTAGACCAAACTCCCAGCATGCAAGTAGAGGTACACACGAGCCCCCGCCCTGGCGATGAAACCATCTCATGGGTTCGTGATGGCATGGATTAGTGATGGCATGGCACACCCTACCTTATCGCTGATGTGCCTTCTTTCTGTCCTTGGTCGTTTCCCACTACAGTGCAAGGCCAGCTGACCCCTCTGACTGTACTCCATGTACCAGCTTGAAACATACGTGTCACGTTTTTGTTGAGGTTGAAGAAAACACTAATCAATGTCAGGCAAGGGGAGTTGCGAGAATCGAACTCGCGGCCTCTCGCACCCGAAGCGAGAATCATACCACTAGACCAAACTCCCAGCATGCAAGTAGAGGTACACACGAGACCCCGCTCTGGCGATGAAACCATCTCATGGGTTCGTGATGGCATGGATTAGTGATGGCATGGCACACCCTACCTTATCGCTGATGTGCCTTCTTTCTGTCCTTGGTCGTTTCCCACTACAGTGCAAGGCCAGCTGACCCCTCTGACTGTACTCCATGTACCAGCTTGAAACATACACGTCACGTTTTTATTGAGGTTGAAGAAAACACTAATCAATGTTAGGCAAGGGGAGTTGCGAGAATCGAACTCGCGGCCTCTCTCACCCGAAGCGAGGATCATACCACTAGACCAAACTCCCAGCATGCTAGTAGAGGTACACACGAGACCCCGTCCTGGCGATGAAACCATCTCGTGGGTTCGTGATGGCATGGATTAGTGATGGCATGACACACTCTACCTTATCGCTGATGTGCCTTCTTTCTGTCCTTGGTCGTTTCCCACTACAGTGCAAGGCCAGCTGACCCCTCTGACTGTACTCCATGTACCAAGCTTGAAACATACACGTCACGTTTTTGTTGAGGTTGAAGAAAATACCATTCAATGTCAGGCAAGGGGAGTTTCGAGAATCGAACTCGCGGCCTCTCGCACCCGAAGCGAGAATCATACCACTAGACCAAACTCCCAGCATGCAAGTAGAGGTACACACGAGCCCCCGCCCTGGCGATGAAACCATCTCATGGGTTCGTGATGGCATGGATTAGTGATGGCATGGCACACCCTACCTTATCGCTGATGTGCCTTCTTTCTGTCCTTGGTCGTTTCCCACTACAGTGCAAGGCCAGCTGACCCCTCTGACTGTACTCCATGTACCAGCTTGAAACATACACGTCACGTTTTTATTGAGGTTGAAGAAAACACTAATCAATGTTAGGCAAGGGGAGTTGCGAGAATCGAACTCGCGGCCTCTCTCACCCGAAGCGAGAATCATACCACTAGACCAAACTCCCAGCATGCAAGTAGAGGTACACACGAGACCCCGTCCTGGCGATGAAACCATCTCGTGGGTTCGTGATGGCATGGATTAGTGATGGCATGACACACTCTACCTTATCGCTGATGTGCCTTCTTTCTGTCCTTGGTCGTTTCCCACTACAGTGCAAGGCCAGCTGACCCCTCTGACTGTACTCCATGTACCAAGCTTGAAACATACACGTCACGTTTTTGTTGAGGTTGAAGAAAATACCATTCAATGTCAGGCAAGGGGAGTTGCGAGAATCGAACTCGCGGCCTCTCGCACCCGAAGCGAGAATCATACCACTAGACCAAACTCCCAGCATGCAAGTAGAGGTACACACGAGCCCACGCTCTGTTGATGAGACCATCTCGTGGGTTCGTGATGGCATGGATTAGTGATGGCATGGCACACCCTACCTTATCGCTGATGTGCCTTCTTTCTGTCCTTGGTCGTTTCCCACTACAGTGCAAGGCCAGCTGACCCCTCTGACTGTACTCCATGTACCAGCTTGAAACATACACGTCACGTTTTTGTTGAGGTTGAAGAAAATACCATTCAATGTCAGGCAAGGGGAGTTGCGAGAATCGAACTCGCGGCCTCTCGCACCCGAAGCGAGAATCATACCACTAGACCAAACTCCCAGCATGCAAGTAGAGGTACACACGAGACCCCGCCCTGGCGATGAAACCATCTCATGGGTTCGTGATGGCATGGATTAGTGATGGCATGGCACACCCTACCTTATCGCTGATGTGCCTTCTTTCTGTCCTTGGTCGTTTCCCACTACAGTGCAAGGCCAGCTGACCCCTCTGACTGTACTCCATGTACCAAGCTTGAAACATACACGTCACGTTTTTGTTGAGGTTGAAGAAAATACCATTCAATGTCAGGCAAGGGGAGTTACGAGAATCGAACTCGCGGCCTCTCGCACCCGAAGCGAGAATCATACCACTAGACCAAACTCCCAGCATGCAAGTAGAGGTACACACGAGCCCCCGCTCTGGCGATGAAACCATCTCATGGGTTCGTGATGGCATGGATTAGTGATGGCATGGCACACCCTACCTTATCGCTGATGTGCCTTCTTTCTGTCCTTGGTCGTTTCCCACTACAGTGCAAGGCCAGCTGACCCCTCTGACTGTACTCCATGTACCAGCTTGAAACATACGTGTCACGTTTTTGTTGAGGTTGAAGAAAACACTAATCAATGTCAGGCAAGGGGAGTTGCGAGAATCGAACTCGCGGCCTCTAGCACCCGGAGCGAGAATCATACCACTAGACCAAACTCCCAGCATGCAAGTAGAGGTACACACGAGACCCCGCCCTGGCGATGAAACCATCTCATGGGTTCGTGATGGCATGGATTAGTGATGGCATGGCACACCCTACCTTATCGCTGATGTGCCTTCTTTCTGTCCTTGGTCGTTTCCCACTACAGTGCAAGGTCAGCTGACCCCTCTGACTGTACTCCATGTACCAGCTTGAAACATACACGTCACGTTTTTGTTGAGGTTGAAGAAAATACCATTCAATGTCAGGCAAGGGGAGTTGCGAGAATCGAACTCGCGGCCTCTCGCACCCGAAGCGAGAATCATACCACTAGACCAAACTCCCAGCATGCAAGTACAGGTACACACGAGACCCCGCTCTGGCGATGAAACCATCTCATGGGTTCGTGATGGCATGGATTAGTGATGGCATGGCACACCCTACCTTATCGCTGATGTGCCTTCTTTCTGTCCTTGGTCGTTTCCCACTACAGTGCAAGGCCAGCTGACCCCTCTGACTGTACTCCATGTACCAAGCTTGAAACATACACGTCACGTTTTTATTGAGGTTGAAGAAAACACTAATCAATGTTAGGCAAGGGGAGTTGCGAGAATCGAACTCGCGGCCTCTCTCACCCGAAGCGAGAATCATACCACTAGACCAAACTCCCAGCATGCAAGTAGAGGTACACACGAGACCCCGCCCTGGCGATGAAACCATCTCATGGGTTCGTGATGGCATGGATTAGTGATGGCATGACACACCCTTCCTTATCGCTGATGTGCCTTCTTTCTGTCCTTGGTCGTTTCCCACTACAGTGCAAGGCCAGCTGACCCCTCTGACTGTACTCCATGTACCAAGCTTGAAACATACACGTCACGTTTTTGTTGAGGTTGAAGAAAATACCATTCAATGTCAGGCAAGGGGAGTTGCGAGAATCATCTCGCGGCCTCTCGCACCCGAAGCGAGAATCATACCACTAGACCAAACTCCCAGCATGCAAGTAGAGGTACACACGAGGCCCCGCTCTGGCGATGAAACCATTTCATGGGTTCGTGATGGCATGGATTATTGATGGCATGGCACACCCTACCTTATCGCTGATGTGCCTTCTTTCTGTCCTTGGTCGTTTCCCACTACAGTGCAAGGCCAGCTGACCCCTCTGACTGTACTCCATGTACCAAGCTTGAAACATACACGTCACGTTTTTGTTGAGGTTGAAGAAAATACCATTCAATGTCAGGCAAGGGGAGTTACGAGAATCGAACTCGCGGCCTCTCGCACCCGAAGCGAGAATCATACCACTAGACCAAACTCCCAGCATGCAAGTAGAGGTACACACGAGCCCCCGCTCTGGCGATGAAACCATCTCATGGGTTCGTGATGGCATGGATTAGTGATGGCATGGCACACCCTACCTTATCGCTGATGTGCCTTCTTTCTGTCCTTGGTCGTTTCCCACTACAGTGCAAGGCCAGCTGACCCCTCTGACTGTACTCCATGTACCAGCTTGAAACATACGTGTCACGTTTTTGTTGAGGTTGAAGAAAACACTAATCAATGTCAGGCAAGGGGAGTTGCGAGATCGAAGTCGCGGCCTCTCGCACCCGAAGCGAGAATCATACCACTAGACCAAACTCCCAGCATGCAAGTAGAGGTACACACGAGACCCCGCCCTGGCGATGAAACCATCTCATGGGTTCGTGATGGCATGGATTAGTGATGGCATGACACACCCTTCCTTATCGCTGATGTGCCTTCTTTCTGTCCTTGGTCGTTTCCCACTACAGTGCAAGGCCAGCTGACCCCTCTGACTGTACTCCATGTACCAAGCTTGAAACATACACGTCACGTTTTTGTTGAGGTTGAAGAAAATACCATTCAATGTCAGGCAAGGGGAGTTGCGAGAATCAACTCGCGGCCTCTCGCACCCGAAGCGAGAATCATACCACTAGACCAAACTCCCAGCATGCAAGTAGAGGTACACACGAGGCCCCGCTCTGGCGATGAAACCATCTCATGGGTTCGTGATGGCATGGATTAGTGATGGCATGGCACACCCTACCTTATCGCTGATGTGCCTTCTTTCTGTCCTTGGTCGTTTCCCACTACAGTGCAAGGCCAGCTGACCCCTCTGACTGTACTCCATGTACCAGCTTGAAACATACGTGTCACGTTTTTGTTGAGGTTGAAGAAAATACCATTCAATGTTAGGCAAGGGGAGTTGCGAGAATCGAACTCGCGGCCTCTCGCACCCGAAGCGAGAATCATACCACTAGACCAAACTCCCAGCATGCAAGTAGAGGTACACACGAGACCCCGCCCTGGCGATGAAACCATTTCATGGGTTCGTGATGGCATGGATTAGTGATGGCATGGCACACCCTACCTTATCGCTGATGTGCCTTCTTTCTGTCCTTGGTCGTTTCCCACTACAGTGCAAGGTCAGCTGACCCCTCTGACTGTACTCCATGTACCAGCTTGAAACATACGTGTCACGTTTTTGTTGAGGTTGAAGAAAATACCATTTAATGTTAGGCAAGGGGAGTTGCGAGAATCGAACTCGCGGCCTCTCGCACCCGAAGCGAGAATCATACCACTAGACCAAACTCCCAGCATGCAAGTAGAGGTACACACGAGACCCCGCCCTGGCGATGAAACCATCTCATGGGTTCGTGATGGCATGGATTAGTGATGGCATGACACACCCTTCCTTATCGCTGATGTGCCTTCTTTCTGTCCTTGGTCGTTTCCCACTACAGTGCAAGGCCAGCTGACCCCTCTGACTGTACTCCATGTACCAAGCTTGAAACATACACGTCACGTTTTTGTTGAGGTTGAAGAAAATACCATTCAATGTCAGGCAAGGGGAGTTGCGAGAATCGAACTCGCGGCCTCTCGCACCCGAAGCGAGAATCATACCACTAGACCAAACTCCCAGCATGCAAGTAGAGGTACACACGAGACCCCGCCCTGGCGATGAAACCATCTCATGGGTTCGTGATGGCATGGATTAGTGATGGCATGACACACCCTTCCTTATCGCTGATGTGCCTTCTTTCTGTCCTTGGTCGTTTCCCACTACAGTGCAAGGCCAGCTGACCCCTCTGACTGTACTCCATGTACCAAGCTTGAAACATACACGTCACGTTTTTGTTGAGGTTGAAGAAAATACCATTCAATGTCAGGCAAGGGGAGTTGCGAGAATCGAACTCGCGGCCTCTCGCACCCGAAGCGAGAATCATACCACTAGACCAAACTCCCAGCATGCAAGTAGAGGTACACACGAGGCCCCGCTCTGGCGATGAAACCATTTCATGGGTTCGTGATGGCATGGATTAGTGATGGCATGACACACCCTTCCTTATCGCTGATGTGCCTTCTTTCTGTCCTTGGTCGTTTCCCACTACAGTGCAAGGCCAGCTGACCCCTCTGACTGTACTCCATGTACCAAGCTTGAAACATACACGTCACGTTTTTGTTGAGGTTGAAGAAAATACCATTCAATGTCAGGCAAGGGGAGTTGCGAGAATCGAACTCGCGGCCTCTCGCACCCGAAGCGAGAATCATACCACTAGACCAAACTCCCAGCATGCAAGTAGAGGTACACACGAGACCCCGCTCTGGCGATGAAACCATCTCATGGGTTCGTGATGGCATGGATTAGTGATGGCATGACACACCCTTCCTTATCGCTGATGTGCCTTCTTTCTGTCCTTGGTCGTTTCCCACTACAGTGCAAGGCCAGCTGACCCCTCTGACTGTACTCCATGTACCAAGCTTGAAACATACACGTCACGTTTTTATTGAGGTTGAAGAAAACACTAATCAATGTCAGGCAAGGGGAGTTGCGAGAATCGAACTCGCGGCCTCTCGCACCCGAAGCGAGAATCATACCACTAGACCAAACTCCCAGCATGCAAGTAGAGGTACACACGAGACCCCGCCCTGGCGATGAAACCATCTCATGGGTTCGTGATGGCATGGATTAGTGATGGCATGGCACACCCTACCTTATCGCTGATGTGCCTTCTTTCTGTCCTTGGTCGTTTCCCACTACAGTGCAAGGCCAGCTGACCCCTCTGACTGTACTCCATGTACCAAGCTTGAAACATACACGTCACGTTTTTGTTGAGGTTGAAGAAAACACTAATCAATGTCAGGCAAGGGGAGTTGCGAGAATCGAACTCGCGGCCTCTCGCACCCGAAGCGAGAATCATACCACTAGACCAAACTCCCAGCATGCAAGTAGAGGTACACACGAGACCCCGCCCTGGCGATGAAACCATCTCATGGGTTCGTGATGGCATGGATTAGTGATGGCATGACACACCCTTCCTTATCGCTGATGTGCCTTCTTTCTGTCCTTGGTCGTTTCCCACTACAGTGCAAGGCCAGCTGACCCCTCTGACTGTACTCCATGTACCAAGCTTGAAACATACACGTCACGTTTTTGTTGAGGTTGAAGAAAATACCATTCAATGTCAGGCAAGGGGAGTTGCGAGAATCATCTCGCGGCCTCTCGCACCCGAAGCGAGAATCATACCACTAGACCAAACTCCCAGCATGCAAGTAGAGGTACACACGAGGCCCCGCTCTGGCGATGAAACCATCTCATGGGTTCGTGATGGCATGGATTAGTGATGGCATGGCACACCCTACCTTATCGCTGATGTGCCTTCTTTCTGTCCTTGGTCGTTTCCCACTACAGTGCAAGGCCAGCTGACCCCTCTGACTGTACTCCATGTACCAAGCTTGAAACATACACGTCACGTTTTTGTTGAGGTTGAAGAAAATACCATTCAATGTCAGGCAAGGGGAGTTGCGAGAATCGAACTCGCGGCCTCTCGCACCCGAAGCGAGAATCATACCACTAGACCAAACTCCCAGCATGCAAGTAGAGGTACACACGAGACCCCGCCCTGGCGATGAAACCATCTCATGGGTTCGTGATGGCATGGATTAGTGATGGCATGGCACACCCTACCTTATCGCTGATGTGCCTTCTTTCTGTCCTTGGTCGTTTCCCACTACAGTGCAAGGCCAGCTGACCCCTCTGACTGTACTCCATGTACCAAGCTTGAAACATACACGTCACGTTTTTATTGAGGTTGAAGAAAACACTAATCAATGTCAGGCAAGGGGAGTTGCGAGAATCGAACTCGCGGCCTCTCGCACCCGAAGCGAGAATCATACCACTAGACCAAACTCCCAGCATGCAAGTAGAGGTACACACGAGACCCCGCCCTGGCGATGAAACCATCTCATGGGTTCGTGATGGCATGGATTAGTGATGGCATGACACACCCTTCCTTATCGCTGATGTGCCTTCTTTCTGTCCTTGGTCGTTTCCCACTACAGTGCAAGGCCAGCTGACCCCTCTGACTGTACTCCATGTACCAAGCTTGAAACATACACGTCACGTTTTTGTTGAGGTTGAAGAAAATACCATTCAATGTCAGGCAAGGGGAGTTGCGAGAATCATCTCGCGGCCTCTCGCACCCGAAGCGAGAATCATACCACTAGACCAAACTCCCAGCATGCAAGTAGAGGTACACACGAGGCCCCGCTCTGGCGATGAAACCATCTCATGGGTTCGTGATGGCATGGATTAGTGATGGCATGGCACACCCTACCTTATCGCTGATGTGCCTTCTTTCTGTCCTTGGT